TTCGCTTGATTCTTGGTCGGCAGAAGGGGCTCCCTACTGGGCTGATGCTGCTGCTGCTACTGCTGTAAAATATAAACCATGCTGTAAAATATGCAACAGAATGAAGGGACAGACCGACGAGGAGGCTTTTAAAATATTGCTTAAATTTTGATGCCAGCAACGCAGCCAGAGTGGGGGGCGTCCATTGGGCGGCTGCAGCTGGCGGCAGGATTTAATTGAAATGTGGGCGCCTCCACGAAATGAAAATGGGTTTCCGCCACATCTAGCCAATTGCCGTACACACTGCTATCCGAGATCTTTAAATTAATTTTCATTTAGTCAATCAATTTGCATTTTTGCCCCACTGCCATTCAGTTGCCTTTCCTTTCCCTTCATTCCTTTCTGCTGCCTTCTGTTATGTCAAATAATGTCAAATCGTCTGACAAATGTAGATGGTAATACGGATACGGATAACGAATAACGGATATATATGTATCTATCTCGTAGAGCAGTAAACTCCAACAATCGAGAATTGGGCGCTCGAGAATTGAATGCAAATCAAATTTCGAATGTCTGTAAAAACAATGGCAGCGCGAAACAGTGGAAAAGCGTGGGAAGAGCGGGCAGTAGGGTAAATGAATGGTGCAGGGTAGGGGGTAAATGAGGGTAGTGGGTAGGGGGCAAATGAAAGTAGGGAAAAACCCAAACGTTTGTGTCAGTTTATGTTGGGGGAAAAGAGCATGTCAAGCGACTAAATTAGCTTCCATTTCCACCCACTAAAAAAAACAGCAACTATTTCTTTTGCTTTTTTTCTTCCACGTATCTTTCTCCGGCAATCTTTAACTCTTTTTCTAGACCTTTCCCGGGCTCTCCTTGCTGGCCTGTATTGTTTCTAGCTCTACCTCTACCCCTACCGTTCCCTTCTGCTTGCTTGTGTACCTCTCTTTCTACCTCATTCTGCTGCTTATTGATTTCCCTGTGAGACAGTTTTGTCCGCGTTGCATAAACTTTCCCTGCCAGTTCAGTTCCTCTGTGGCTCAGTTCCTTCCTGGGGTGACTCTTTTTTTCTAGCAACCGCAAATTCATTTCAATTGCCACAAGTGTGTGTGTGTGTGTGTGTGTGTGTGTGTGTGCTGCACTTCCGGTTCATGGCGGGTGACTGTCATTCATTTGGCGTCGCTCTTAGCTCTCCCCCCACCCCCCACCTCATGGCACACTGCTGCCCGCAAATTTAATGTAATTTACAATTTAGACGATGTGCAGACATAAACGATACAGAAAGAGACGCAAAATGATGGCCAGAAAGAGACAGAAAAACAGCTGGAAAAGAATAATAGTTGGAGAGACAGAGACAGCGACAGCGACAGAAACAGAGAACTGCCTCAAGGGTCATGGAACTAAGTTTATTGTGCACATTTAAATGAAATTGCTGCGCTCAATTTATGCGCTAAACGCCAAAAGGCATTGGCCCACGACCAGGACCAGGTATACAGGTCCTTCGTTCTCCCCGCTTCTCTCCACAGGTGCACAAAAAGCACAACAAAAAAGTGCAAGAAAAAAAACAGGTGGAGTGGGAGGGGGAAAAACATTCACACAGTGCAACTCCAACTCCAACTACAAACAGTGCAACTCCACTCGTACTTCACTGTTCGCTGTACTGTACAGTGCCCACTCCCTACCGCTGCCGCTGCCCATCGCTTATTCATTTCATTTCATTTCGTTTGGTTTTAGCATTTATTTTGTTCTTTTTTTTGTTTCTGCTGTGGATAGGATACCCTTGGCTGGGGCAGCGGTGCTCCGAATTTGAAGTGCTGCTTGGAGTGCATTGAATTGTGTAGCATCTGTGATTCACATAAATATATGGCATTAAAATGAATCAATAGAAGTGGTTTGAGCTGCTGTGATTTTAGCAGGAATATAGCAGGAATCGAGCTACTATAGCTTATGAAACCACTGGCAATTATTCCTTTGTTTATGGCTATTTTTTCTGCATCAGGAATCGAGTTACTATAGCTTACTGGGAATTATTCTTTTGTTTATTACTCTTTTTGCTGCATCAGGAATCGAGTTACTATAGCTTATGGAACCACTGGGAATTATGCCTTTATTCCTTTTACTCTTTTTCTGCATTAATAGTGGCATAAAGTTTTATTTTAGAAGCACTCGAATCTACCAGATTTAGGCATTATTCGATTTTGAAGTGAACAAATTATTTAAAATACGAATATTTTATTCCATAAAAATGTAACGAGTAAATAAAACGTTGCGTATTAGCTCTTTTCTTGTAACTTTGGAATGTATCGTAATAATGAGAGCTACAAATTTGAAACCGAGTTAGATACAAAATAATTGGAGCTTTTTTTCATATATTTATTTTGTATTTATTGGGCTTATTATTATTATTAATAATAAATTTTTCTACTAGTTAATTTGATTGATTAATATTTATTTAGAAGAAGAATTAACTTATTGTTTTTTAATATACCGAAAAACCTTTAATTTTTGTGGAGAAAATATAAGTGCATTTAATATTCCCCCCCAAAAAACAAATCATATTTCAGCTTTGTTATTGTGTTAGCCATGCGGGCTATGGCCATAGTTTTATGGCAGTAGTATGTCCTCAATGTCCTTGTTGCTGTTTCTGCTTCTAGTTGCCAACCATTCCTAGCTCCCAACGCCCCCTCCTTGCAACGTTTGAAATGAAATGTGGTGCATATTGTTGGCATAATTGACTGGGTTTTTGTCATTGCTTTTTGCTAGCCGTTTTTTGTTTTTTTGTACTAACTTATTTGTTTTTGTTGTGTTTTTTTTTATGTTTTTGTTTTTTTTTTTGTGTGCCCGTTCATTTCCGTTTCCCGTTTTGCCATCCGCTCAACTAATGTGCCATTTGTTGACTGTTTGTTGCCATAGGCCACATTTGCCACATTTTTTTTTTGTCACATTCTGGCTGGCTGCAGCAGGCAGGAGGCAGCCACCAAATGGGTTCACTGGCTGCACACACAAGTGACTTGGAATTTGTCGGCAAAGAGCAGCAAAAAACTGACGGGGACAAGCAAAGAGTTATGACTAGATCAATATCTACAGAGAATAAGGAGGCAGCCCCCCACTTGTGTTTTGCCCTAACCACTATGTGTGTGTGGGTTTAGTTTAGTTCTTGGTTCTTTCTCTCTATAAGTTTTAGTTGCCTCTTCTAAGTTGAGTACTTGTGGAGGAGTAGCCATGGCCCTTCTGGGGGGGGGGAGCTGCTGCTCAATCTCTCAATAAACACTTGCCACACACACAGCTCTTAATTACCTCCAATGCAAAAACTTCTGTGGCGCAGGCAGAGTGTCTGCTTGTGCTCCTCCACTGACCTGCCAGCTTGCCACCTTGCCACCTTGCAGCTACTTCCTGTTACCTGCTTCTGCTCCTGCTTCTTCCTGCTGCTGCTGCTTGCTTTTTTTTTTCTGCTGCTGCTGCTCTTCACTTCAGTGGCTGTCATATGAAAGTTTTTGTCAGGTGGAAGACGGAGAGCGGGGGAGCTTGTTCTGGCTGCGTGTTAAACAACAAAAACGTGTGCCAACAACTTTCCAGTCAAAGTTTTCATGACTCTTTTGTCAATTACCGTTAGTTAGGCAGAGGTTTAGTGTGGTGCGGTGGGGTGGGAGGGTGCTAATGGGGTGTGGTAGTGGGGGGTAGCCTGTGCAGGTGATATTTGTGCGGGGCAAGCAGGCACAACACACATTGACAAGTCGATTTGGAGGAAAACTTTCTCTCTTTCCTGCCGGAGGTTCTCCCTCTATGTATCTGCGTTTCCCTCTTCTCTCTCTCTCTGTCTTAACCCCCAAATTAATGCCCCAAACAAAACTTTTGGCTATTCATTTGCCTAAGACAGACAGACAGACAGATAGATAGACAGTAAGACATTCAGATAGATGAACAGAACAGGACAGAACATTCATTCTCTTCATTCTCCCTTGTGTAACTCTTGTGTATCTCTGCCTGTGCCTCTCCTTAGCTCTCTCTCTCTCTCTGTTATGTGTGTGTGTCGTGGCCTAATCTATCATTATTGATTGGCATTAAGTTGTTGGCTGTGTGCAAGAATAATTCCTTTTGCTCTCCCCTGTGTGTGTGGTGGCATTAGGTAATGGCCTTCAAATTAATGAGCATTTATTTATGGCAGAAGTAGAAGCAGAAGCAGAAGCAGAAGCACAGCGGATGAGCAGAGCACAGCCGAGGGAAGAGCCATGTAATCCCCACCAAAAAAAAACCGCAGAGGAGACTGAAGTAGAGTGGCTTAGTGGCCCGGCAAATATGAGCGAGAATTTTTAATTAAAATTAAAACTCAACTAATATGTATGAATCCTTATAGTCCTTGGGCGCCACACTCTGTATAGTACCCCTTTCAGTCAGTGTTTAAGCCAACTAAGGTCGCGTTTTAGCCAGAGACCCCGGTGCCGCCTGCCACTGTCTGCTGAATCCAGTTACCCAGTGTTCCTTTGTTTTTTTTTTTTGTCTCTTTTATGACCACAAACTAATTCCATATTTCTCACTCTCTTTCGCTGTAATTGCAGTTATCACAGGAGCAGGAGCAGGAGCGGAACAGCGAAACATCAGACAAACAGGATGTGAGGAGATGTGGATAAAAAAGGATTTGAAATTACATTTTTAATGCTGTTGCAGAGAGGAGAAGGGAACCGCGCCACCAAATAAGCAACACGTGCGCGTTTTATGTTAAATATTTATAAAAAAAAAAACACCAACACACACAGCAAAGACAGAGAGAGAGAGAGTAGTGACCAAAAAAAAAACAACAAAAAAAAGTACAGCCACGTCGAAATTCTATTAAATATTCATCTTAACGGTTATGCGACGGAGGACTTGTTCTTGTTCAAACAACGGCTAAAAAATGGATGTTTGTTAATATTAAAATGAATTTATGTGCGAGGAGCCCGAAAGTTTTTAATTAAGTGAAAAGCCAGCAGAAAAAAAAACAACAAGCAACAAAAAAATAGAGAACGGTAAAGAGAGTGCAAAGAGAGAGAGAGAGAGAGTGTGTGGAAAAGTAAGTGACACCGAGATGTTTGAACAGAAAGCCGCAACAATCTATTTGCATATGCAATGCTCATGTCATAAACTGGTGTCAAAGTGAGCTTAGAATATTAATCAACGCTTAGAAAGTGACATAAGGATCAAGCAGGAGGATCAGCTAACAGCAGCAACAGCAGCCGAAGGAGCAAGAGCCAAGAGCCAGCAATCATGACATATACACTGATGCTCTGTCTGTTTGTCGTGGGAACCATGCACCGTACGGTCTCCCATGAGCATGCCGATGGTTTTAAACCAGGTGAGTTTTGTAACAAAAAATTAAGAAAAAAAAAAAGCAATTAAGGCAATGCATGTAAAAATATGTTTAAAAATATCTTTAAGAATTTATTTCTGTACTTGCTGGTATTCTTTTGTAAATAAAAAAAAATATGTAAGCGCCGAATGTAATACAGAATGCTCATATCTAGTCCATTGCAAAATTTGTATTGCAATCGGATCATTATTAAGGTGCAGTAGGAACAAAACAAGTTGACGTTTGGCTATTTGAACATCTGGCTTTCGATCGCTATTCACGCTAGGGCCACTGCCATTTTCGGTGTATACTTTTAGGAGTAAAACGAAAATCAAGTACCTGACTTTCGTGTATTTTAGTGTCGCACAATAAGTGCCGCCACTGCTTTATTTTGGTTTAACTGGTTTATTTCTTTAGTTGATAATTCACACTGTTTGAGGTTGCCGCCATAAACATTTTAATCACAAAATTGTTTAATAAAAAAATGTTGCAATCTGTTTCATCTTATTTTAATTTTTTCTACATACATATATGCAAATGTTATTTATTATTGGTGGATTGTTTGCACTGCCATTTGCTGTATTTGCTCGCACTGTGCGGCATTTCATTTTCATTTCATTTCATTTACATTTGTGTTTGCTCTGAAGGAAAAAACCTGCGGATTTCACATTCGTTTTTTCCTCCAGTTGTGTTGAAGACAAATAAAATTTAATTATGCATCCAGAAAAAGTTGTACACATTTTTAATTAGTCATTTTTTAACTTTTGTTTTGAGAAGCGTTTATGGCGCAAAGTCACGGGAGGAGCAAAAGTCTGGCAAGAGATAAGGTTTATTATATGGCTAATTAGGCGGGAAAAACGGATAACGACGGGAAATTTTTCAGCAACAAAGAAAATAATTATGGAATAAAATTATGGAACAATTTCTTGGGGGGCAAACGGAGCGAAGAGCGTTTACTTTTTTGGGACTCCTTCGTTTCGTTTTTAAAGGTTTTTGGATGAAAAAATGTAATGCATATTTTGCATTAAATTTTTATGGGCATATTAATGAATATTTATGTAGGAATTAAAACAAAAAAAAGGGAACAAAATTCCTTAACAATTTTTGATTTGAAATTGTATTTAAAATAATTCTGTCTCGCTTAATTGTGTGACGAAAATTAAAAAGAATATCCCAAAAAAGAGGAAGTATTTGTGCCGCTTTTTCCTTGAATCTAGTTGCTAGCTTATCTTCTCTTCTATTCCATTCTTTCAAATATATTCTAACCCAAGTACCAAGGAGTATATTCCTGTATTACTTTTTTTTTTATTTGTAAAGAACGTTTTCTTTTAATTTTCTTATCATTTATAAAAGTCAATTGAAAGACAAAATGATCAGAAATTATTGAAAGAACTTTGAATTGGCTTTTCTTAAAAGAATGCAAGGGATTGCCTTTGCTGCTATGTTTTGCCCCCTATAAACTTTCTGGGATCCGGCTCCTATAATCTCCCTGAACTTTTTTATGTGCGAATATTTCTTTAATATTCTTGTGTAATTTTTCTTCTTTATTGACCATTTACAGCAGCATTTTTTTGTGCGCTGTCCATAGCATTTAAAAGTGTGGTTAAACATTTTTTCTGGGCATATATTGTTTGCATAAATGAAGAAAAGTTGAACAGAGAGGTAGAACAAAAGAGAAATAAAATTATGCAATTTTATACAACATCATTATGGGACATGTGCGGCTGCTGCTGCTCCCCTCCCCTCCTCCCTTTTTGTAATAAACGCCAATGTTGGCCACAAATCCACAAAAGCGTCACCTGTGTCACCTGTGTAACCTGTGGCCCGCCTGCCACACCCCACGGCGGCTACTTTCCAGCACCGAAAAAATGCATAAATTCTCATTTTTATGTGTCTGATGTTGGACTTTACATTAGCTTTACCTCTGGATGTTGCTGCCCCTGCTGCTGATACTGCTGCTGCTGTTGTTTTCCCCTCCCTGATTATCCCCAGAGAGCCATAAAAATATATACATATATCGTACATATACAATATACTATATATACTGTACATATACATATACATATATGATGTTATTCCACAGCGAAGAATGTGTGTAAAAATATATACTTTTCGGTTCATTTTTGTTTGGGGCCAAGTGGGAATTTCAACCCAGCGAAAATTGAGTTAAAACCAGAATATTATCAGGCGAAGGGGAAGGACGAGAAACGAGCGAGAGCGTGTGGGTGGGAGAGGTATTTAAACTGAAGGTTAAACTATATTTTATGTGTAGTCCATAACTGAACGGGTTATAAATTATCGATCATAAAGCAATAGGGAAATTTTCCACACAGCTGCCACACATAAATTACACAGCAGCAGGAGCAGCAGCAGGAGCAGCAGCAGAAACGTTAGACAGGGTAGGTGGTACGAGTGAGGCATGCTCCACTTTAGCAAACGCTTTAATTTCATTAACAAAAACACTTGATGGGACAGGCTGGCAGGCAGGCGGCTTGAGGAAAAGCGCCGCGGCAAAGCGCCCGTCCGCTTACATAATAATTAGTAAAATAAATTTCACCTAAATACACAGAGGGAAAAGAGCGAGAGAGAGAGAGCGAGAGGAGCAAGGTAGGATTTTCACAGAGGAAAACGCACGTACCACTTACTCTTTGGTCCTGCTTCAAGAAGGCGCTGGCACTGGCACTGGCACACCCCCCAGGCAGGGCGCAGGGCAAGAGGCAGGCAGGATTCGCACAGGACAGCATCGTTGACGGTTCCTACGTCCACGTCGCATGTCCTCGTTGTCGTCCTCGTCCTCGTCCTGAGCTAACGTTGGCAAATTATTTCCCATCATTTTTCACGCAAAAAGCGCAAAAATGTTTGCCAGTGCCCAAACATTGAGGGAAGGGCAAAAAAGAGCTGCCACAGAAACGCAGGGATGCAGAGCGGTATGAAAAGAGAGTGACAGAGAGAGAGAGAGAGAGGAGTGCCCTAGTCAGACAGCAACGCAGTTGTCAACGTCAGTACGGCGTGGCGCAGCCTGTCGTTGCGTTCGTGCCTCTGGTGTCGATGTCCATAGACAGGACAGGACAGGGACAGGACACCTAGCAGACAGGCAGACAGACAGACAGACAGGGAGACAGACAGACAGCTAGAGGAGCAGGAGCTGGAGCGGAGAGGAACTGCCAGAGCATCACGGAAGAACGATGTCATCCTCCAAATGAAATCTAATTAAAGCGTGCAGCAAACGTGCAACAGCAGCAGCCAGCAGCGCGCTCCAGCAGCATCTCTCAGTGCAGTTAGCGAGTCGAATCGGCGCAGCGGGGTACGATACGACAATGATGGATATTTTGGTAAGCAAAGTGGTCTTTTATGGCTGCAAAAACGTGAGCCATTGGCCATGAATGTCGCGTCGAATGCAGAGTTTAGAATGTCATTTGGGATTTAAGATCAAAATTTAACCAAATAAAAGGCATGACAGGAATCTTAGGGAGTTTTAGGGGTTTTAAGAAGTACTCAAAACTAAAGATTTTGTGGGGTATTTTTGTGGCTTTAAAGGGAATTTAATTGGTGTCTATTTTGGCTACCTTCCCTTTTAACAATAAGGATAGAAATAAAGTGAATAATTCGCTCACAGAATAACAGCACAACATATCCAAGACAATAATTCCCATAGACATAGTCTTTGCTTTTCAAAGTAACTCTAAACAAATCGTAAGGATTTTTAGTGGATAAAAAATCCAAACAATTAAAGTCAAAATTACACATAAAATAAATATTTAATATGATCCCTTCGTACTTCCTTCCTCCCTTCCTTCTCTGTGTATTTCCTGTGTGTGTTCTGCGTGTCTCTCTCACTCTCTATCTTTCTCGCTGTAATTAAAAGCCCCGTCATTGGAAAACAGCTATTAACATGCCGCCGCCTCAAAAGTAGGCAATGAATTTTTTAATGCCCAACGCGAGTCAAGTGAAAACCCAAAATTGTCAGTCTCAGGCCACACAACACTCAAGCGATTTTCTAATTCAATTTCTGTGACTGTGAAGTAGGAAAAACTACAAAAGAAAAGGAAGAAAAATAAACCAAAATCAAAAGCAAAAGCAAAAAGAAAAGCAAAGTAAACTAACCCAACAAAAAAAAAATACTGTAAAAGCAGTTCATTGACAGGAAGGAAAAGAAAAATAAAAGAACAGGGGAAAAGGCGCCGCACAAATGTCAGTTTTCCCAGCAGCAGCAACCAACCACTGGGGGGTGGAGTGGGGGGGGGGGCCAACTACAGCCAAAATGTATCCTGTGTATCTTTGAGTGTGGCAAAGCACTACAACATTTCGACGAATCGTTTACCAATTTTCTCTGACTGCTGTAAATCAAAAAGAAAACCAACCAACCTCTCCGCCCTGCAAAACTTTTTAAATTAACTAAAAAAAAAGACAGCCAAAAAAAAACGAAACGAAACGTAACGAAACGAAAGATGGAAATGGTATGGGGTAGGGGCAGGCAAAAAGGGGGTGGGGGGGAAGAGTAGTACACGTTGTGTTGTCGCTGGTGTTGGCATTCGGTTTGAGTGTATTTTAGAGGCAAAGTGGAAAACTTTTAGTGGCATGTTTACAAAATAAACTTGCCTGGGACAGGGCAAAACGGCCCAAACGAAATAAAGAAAAATGCTGATTGCCACAGCCACAGCCACACACAGGAGTAGCTCACATCACAGCAGTAACAGCAGGCAGCACCACCTAACAACAAAAAAAAGATGATTATGATGCGTGGGGTGGGGCAGTGTCGCTCAGCTGACACACATTTTTCGCCAACATTTGGGACGGGGGGGGCAAGGTAAGAAACACACCAAAAAAAAACTTTGGTTTTGTTCAGTTTTCTCTCTCTGGGTTTTTTTTTTGTTTTTTTTTTTTGGGCCTGAACTTTTGTTTGGTTTGTTGTCACTCTCTGTCACAAGCCCAACCGAAAAACATAAAAAACATAAAGAAAGAAAAAGTTTGGTACGCCCATTTTTGATACCCTTTGGATGTGTTTT